TTGTTTTTATGGCATTTTCTTCCTCTGAAGTGGCTGATGTATCTGCAGGCTGTACAAGGGCCATGGGGGCTGTGCTGAGCTCACGAGCTTCAGCCTCACCTGTGGCTGTGCTGGCTGACCCAGGAGGGCTGCTCTTGGCACCCACCTGACAGCAAGCTATAAATCAGACCTCAGCTAATCTAAACTTCAAGAAGTGCTTCTGCCCTTCTATTATTAATTATTTAGATAATGCTAAGTGTGTGCTAGACATTTCTTGAACTGAGGGAAGGCTGTTGTTGGCCCCAGCTCAGTAGAATCTGAAGAATGTAAAGGCAAAGGGAAAGGAGGGGATGGCTGCTGCTACGAGGCAGCTGAATGCTTCAAGCCTTTGGGTGTCATACTGCTGTACTATCTGATCAAACTATAAAGGACACAGAAAATGACTGAGGCAAAAGCTGAGAAGTAATGAAGGTAGCTTTGAGCTTCCCTACTTTGAAGCAGCATGAACAAGCTTGTCTCATTGAAATGTGTTTTAAGTTTCACTAACAGAGCCCTCAGACTTCTGTTTTTGTAATAGATTTCATTCAATGGTCTGTGAACTTGTGATTTGTTTGTAATGAGTCTTAAACATAATTGTACCTGATATGCATGGGATGTGGCATCTTCAGGTTCACTTGTCCTAGTTCCAGTTCAAGCATGCCAGATTTACTGAATAAACTTACTGATGCAGACCCAGTGTATGAAGACCTGTCAGTGAGGTTTGGTTATAACTCAGACATTTCAAAGTTTCCATTTTCCACAGCTAGATACTAATTACAGTGTAGTCTCTTAACTTAAAAATGAAATACAACGGTGCCCTCTACTGTGCAGTTGGGAGCATAACGAGCTGAGTTGCATAACTTGTGTTTGTAAGTATGTTCTGCATGTGTTTATACACTGTTCTGTAGTAACGTTCATGTAGGCTCCAATAATGGACTCTTCTGTTCTTAATTATGAGATCAATTCAGTTGATGGTCTGTATTAAAATCTTTGGTTTTGCTCATTTTTCTTTGCTGACATATCAATGATGGTTTTTTTTTCCCATTTTAAATGCTCTGTTACCACTGCAGGAAAGTTGCTATCCCCATGAATATTTTTGTTGTTAATTCGCAAGCAATTTATTTTGTCTCTTTTCTTATAAACTGTTTTCTCATCCCATTCTTGATGTAAATAGTAATTTCTTTTGCCTGTGTTTTTTCCCCCTCAACAAGCACGCCTTTCATATAATGATTGAGGTAAGATGCATTGATGTTTGTTCATGGTTATGGAACTTTCTGTGGACTTGTAAGAAGTTGTTTTGGTATGAATTCCATTCTTTCAATATTTTAGTCCAGAAATTCGTAAGCATGCGGGGTTGAAAAACAGAGATTCAGTCACAAGCTGCTTGTGGCTTTCTTGAAGCCTGCTGTGATTTCTCAGGCTGTGGAGGTACACATCTGCAGGGAGCAATGTGGAATACACCAGGAATACTGCAGCCAGTGCCACGTCCAGCCTGTTGCAGCCCTGGGAGAGGTGCAGGGCTGTGCTGGGAGGGCAGGAGGTGTGAGCAGCCTCTGCCCAGCACTGGGCTGTCCCACTGCACTCCTGCAGCTGGGGCTGCCTGCTGTGACCAGCTGGCATGGATTGTGTGTGAGAAACAGAGGGGTTTGGTTTGAGGAAAGAGGTTAGCTGAAGAGAAGTGCTCTGTCACCATTCGGTCTCTACTCTGACTTTATCATTGGCCAGAAGTGATTTTTACTTGCATTTTAATTAATGGTTCTTCATTTAAAAAGCTACAAGTAACTGAACTGTTTATTTAGAACCATTCTCATTACTGTTTGGTTGAAAAACCAAACAAAGTTCAAGCTGTGGTCTGAATGCTCAGTTTTCATTGCTTGTATATTTTCTACATAGGTCTCATATTCACAGCAGAAATGCCTTGTGAAATCCTTTAGAAGGAAATAGAAGGTTGCTGTCTAAATATTCTGCATATCTCACACCTGTGAAGGATCATCATTCTGTTCTTTGTACTGTTTTGCTCCAAATGACTTCATTCCAGTTAGGGAAAAATAAGTGCCATGACTACAGGCTTCTACCTTATTTATATTGATAACATTTTGCTGCAAGTCACAGAGTCAGACTAGATTGCAGAATCTGAGTTCTGACTTTACTATATTTGGTTTTTTGTGTGGTATCTGATTGAAAATGAACCCAAACTCAAAAGAGAGAAGTGAGAACCTGTTGGCCACGTTCTAATATAAGCTGTAGAGTAAATGTAACCAAGGGGAGATAATGCAAAAGTTAACACAGAGAATGTGCATGGGCTCTGGAGTTTAAGAACTTGTTTTTATTCTGGAGTCAGAAGAGAGAAATGTCTTTGTCCAACCACGTGTGGGTTATTGATCCTTTTTCCCCCCTTTGTTATACATATGGAATCATCTGATTAAGTTGTCATGTGAGGGGAATGACTGGAGATGCACTCATGTGCTGATGGATGGTGTTGGGCAGCCCTTAAACAATCCATCCAGTTCATCATGTTTGGCTGGCTTTGTAGTTTCCCAGTTGCTGTGCTTCTGGTTGATCTTCAGAACCATTCCCCACTCCAGGAAACTTAAAAACTGTTTACGTTAAGGCAGCTCTCCTTTTCATTTTAAATCAGGATTTGTTTTGCTCTGTGTGTAGGGTTATGATAGAAAATTCTTCACAAGGAGCAGGAAGGTTTGATCTCATAGAAGGTTGCTGTATAACACAGAGGGAAAATATTTTGAGATGCTCAGACTTGCTAGGAAATGCAGAATTTGGGTATGTGGGAAGGATTGCATGAGGGTTAAAATGAAAGCAGGGAGCAGTACTTTTTGCTGGCTGGCTTTGACATGGGGTAACTGCCTTCTCTTATGATGGGTGCTGCAATTCAGATGTGCTCATCAGATCTTTGAGGGGCACCAAGTGGTCTTTTTGTTCCATGATCAAGGAAGAATATTCATGCGGTGTGCTTCAAAATCCCATCAGGTTGTTTTGGACAAGGGGTGCAGAAAGGAAAGCCACTGAGGCAAGGGAAGTTTGGGTTTACTTTCTGCAGATGGTTCTCTTAGCTCAGGTGAGTCCTGAGGTTGAAACCTGGTCACACAAGTTGTGTAATGGCATGGTGTTCAATCTCTGGGTGCCACACTGTTCAGGACTCTTAAAAATAACAGCTTTGTAGTACTCAAAATAGGCTTTTGTGAGTAAATCTGGGCATCTCTTTTCTAGCTTTGCACGTCTGTTTTTGCTATTTTTGTGACTACTTCAGTTTGAGGACTGTGAGCTCCCTGCTGCCTGAAGTATTCATACAGGGCTTTGGCACCAAATGAAGGGCAGCACAGAAGTGGAAGCTTCCATAGCTGTGTATCAGCAGCTCTAGGAACAAGAACTTTATCTTGTGTTAGAAGCAGGTTTTAATTCTTAAACTTCATTTTTCTCTTGTGTTTATCCAGCTTGAACCCAGCTACATTGATACAACAGCTTTATCTGTGCATCTATCAATCGTGTTGGCAAAAGCATTTCATAGTTTTTAGAGGACAGTATTGTAACTTCTCCAGTTTATATTTCAATATCATATTTTTACAGGTGCTAATTTCTGATCAATTTATTTGATTTGATAGAAAACTATTGATGAAACTTGTCCTTTTTGAAGGATACATGTATTCCTTAACAAGAAAGAGAGTATGATTATTTATTACAGTGCTTAAACTGCTCAGAACTTGTATTGGTGAGAAACTCTTGTCTCCATTCTCCCAGCAGTGAAGTGTTCTTAAAACCACAGTTGTTCAGCAAACGTCCTTAACATGCACAAGAATTTTGATGTTGGTGGGTGGGAAACAGAAGGGAACTGTACACTTGAAGAGCTTGCTTTGTATTCTGCAGTACAGAAGTCACTGAGGAGCAATACCTACCTTCCATTTGTAGGTTCTTGCTTTCATATGTAATGTAAGGCCTCTGCTGAGCTGTGCTGCCACAAACACTGTTCATCTCCTGTCTGTCTGCCCATGTGCCAGCACCAATGGCAACACCACTGAGGATGGAGGGGAGAGAAGAAAAGGAGGATGGGGCTGCTGCTCTTGGTGGCAGTGCTGACAAGCCCTCCTCCAGAGCCACTCTGCAGCAAGTAGGGATATCTAACTCTGGGTAGAGCACTGCTATTTGATGCAGGGGCATCACAAAATGGGTCTGGTGTGTGGTAGGGAAGAAAGCAAGTTGTGTACAAGCTGCTCTGAATGGTGGGTTGAAAGGAAAGGACAGCCCAGGAGGGAGTACCACTGGGGCAGTGAAGCTGAAAATCTACTTGTTCCATTCAGATGACATGTACACTATAAGTAGGAGATGCATTTTACTGTTTCAGTCCATCAGTAGGGTGCAAACGTGAGATACAAAGAACAAGGTATTCTCTGGAATCTCATTCCAGAGAGCACTGGAACATTGGTTCTGTGCTTCCTAACCCCAGTGTGTGGGGCTGGGGGTGGAGATGCTGGGTGTCATGTCCTGCACTGGGTGTGTGGGGTAGTGGTTTGTGAAGGAAAACATCACTGATGTGGGAGGATAGTGTTGCTTTGTAGCCTTGTGCCCCAGCACTGGGGAGGCTGTGGGAGCAGAGCTCAGAAGAGAGTGGTAAAGTCAGGGTGAGGGAAATCAAAGCTGTTGGGTTTAGTTCCATTGCTTAAAAAGGTACCGAGTGAAACTTAATTATCTTTATCCCTTAATTTTTGCTGTGCTTTTATACCTGGTTAGACAGACGTGTACTATAACTGTTGTCATGCTGTTGCTTGCACATAGTTCTGAGCATGTCTCACAGTCTGTTTTTTTCCTTCCTGTGGAGAAGAGTTGCTGTTTTTGTTTCTGATTTGTTTGGGGGAATTTGTTGCAGGAGGGTTGGGTATATGGTGCCAAGTCTCAGTTTACAAGCCTTTCTTTCTAGATCACACATATTGTAATAGCAGTGTTAATTAATGGTGTTTACCTAATTTCAGGATCCTGGACCACCACCACCTTCACCATTGATGGGTTTGAAGCCACTGCAGTTGCTAGAGATCAAAGCCAGGGGACGATTTGGGTGTGTGTGGAAAGCTCAGCTGCTGAATGAATATGTTGCAGTCAAAATATTCCCAATCCAGGTAGGCAGAAGTTCTTTGTGTCCTGTGCTGCTGAACTTACTGTAATGTAAGCTGTGTTTTCTAGTCACAGTGAGAACTTTTTGTTTTAGAGAACTTTCATCAAATACACTGAATCTAGTTATTGCAGAGATGTTCTCAGGCATGGGAAGTACCTTCAGCCAAAGCATGTGGGGTTTTATTAAATGCAAAAAATGTTTATCAGTGAAACGTGAATTCTGTGCAACCATAAAGCAAAGACAATAAAAGTACTTGAACATGAATACTTAAATTCTGTTTGCTGTTGTTCTCACGTGTCTTTCCATCACTTGAGTTCTAATTAAGTTGTACTTGGAGTGAATGTAAGCCAGTAAACAGATGTTCTGAAATGCAACCCTACAAGGTGATTGTTCCAATTAAATGAAATACTGTTGACTTCCCAGCAAATACCTTCTGAAAGCCATGTTTAAAATAGGTTGTGCTCACAACATTAAAAGCAAATTTATGTAGAGTTCAGGATGTCACATACGGTGACACCAGGGTAGGTGGTACCTCACTTCAAACAGCCACTGCTGCTACCTGGAGCTTTGTGAAGATTTGCAGTGTGCAGACTCTAATCCAGATCTGCAGCTTTCTGTGTTTCCATGATTCCTATATCTGATAGTTGGTGTTGTTTTCAGATAATACAACATATTTAATTTTTCAGACATTTTTCCTCTATGCTGAATATGTAATATATGTGAAGAAAGACCATTGTTCTGTTCTTGTAGAAGTAGTTTGTAGAACCAATAGCATTTCTAAATATTTAATACTGAGTACTGCATCTAAATATTTGTCATTTTAAAATAATTAATCTCATAATGCTCATAGTGTACACTGGGCTTTTACCACTCTTTCCAATAGGTAATAAACCCTGATTTGATTACAAAAAAAAAACCCAACAGGTTTTCATGATAATGACAGACCATTTAGCAGTGCATGGGGAACTACAGGAGGAAATGTCTGACAGAGTACCTCTTATGACTGTGGTATTAACTTGGTGTTGGTTTTGTTTGTTGTTTAAAGGACAAACAGTCGTGGCAGAATGAATATGAAATTTACAGCCTACCTGGAATGAAGCATGACAATATCTTACAGTTCATTGGTGCAGAGAAACGAGGCACTAGCATTGATGTGGATCTCTGGTTAATTACAGCATTTCACGAAAAGGTTTGTTGCAAATATGACCTTCAGGTAGTTAAACAAAATGTAATAGCTTTCGCTTCCCATTAACTTTTGCTGGATATGGATTTATTTCAGTTTCTTCTCAGCTAGCTGATACAGTTGTTGTCAATCTATACTTAATAAAGAAGTTGTTTTACAAAACATAGAAAGAACTGTTCTACCTTTGTGCTTCTTACAGCGTGATTATTTTTGCATGTCCCTCATCTAAATTTGCCTGAATTAAGTAAACTCCATCTCATGGAGATTGTGATGTAATGTTTTCAGTTCTGGCATTTTTGTCCCATTTGTGCCTCTTCTTTAATCACTGAGAAGATTATCAACTGCTTGCATTTTTTGGCAGCCCTTCACAGTCAGTGGGTAATAGCAAACTGATTTGCCTTTCCAAAAGGATATTGCCATAGTTTAGGTTTTGTCTGAGATTTTATCTGAGATGACTCTGGAAAATACAAAATTATTTTTAAAATGTAGTTTCTACACTTTGACAGCGTTCAGTCCCTTCTCTTTTCTGTTGGCTTTTCCCATGTGGCACAGTGACATATCAAGCTGGATTGTAAATCCAGGTGCACATGATGGGATGTGGAAGTGAGTTTGAGAAGTGCTTTCTACTGACTAGATTTCGCTTCACAGTCTCTCTCTATTCAGAGTGTGTACTTGGATGTAGGATTCACAGTCATTAGTCCAAGAGAAAAGAGACTATCAATTAAAGGGCTCAGAGTGCATGTGCCAGTTGAGCAGATTCCTGAAGGTGAATCTAACCTGCAATTTCCTGTGGTTGGAAGGCCATAAATCACCCTAAAAAAGCAGGGTTGTCTTCTTTGTAAAGAACTTAATTGTGTAAGCCTAGCTCCTATTTCTGCTATAGGCAGCTATGTGCAGATTGTTGGCATGTGTGCCACTGGACTTGAGTTGATTTCTGCTGCCCGGTTTTCAAAGTGATACATGGGCACATCTGCATTCTATTCACAGAGATGATGCAAAGGTTAATTTTTTGTTGTAGTTTAAGCCAGCAGTGTGTAATGATATGATTTATCAGAAAACAGAGGAAGGCAGATAAGCATACCATGGTATTTTAGGATGGAGCCTATGTATAAGTTTTCTTTATGGCTTGATGGGAGTGAAATTTATCTTACAGTTGTTCTTTTTTGCCATGCAGGGTTCATTAACTGACTTCCTCAAGGCTAACGTGGTTTCCTGGAACGAGCTGTGTCACATTGCTCAGACTATGGCTCGAGGCTTGGCTTATCTCCACGAGGATATTCCAGGGCTAAAGGATGGACATAAACCTGCCATCTCACATAGGTACAGTGCTGTGAGGGATTTGCAGCTGATGGTTAATGTTTAACCTGGAGCCAAAGGACAAAGTACTCAAAAATTACTGTGATAACTTCCTTCTGTAGATATCAAGAGCCTAAAAAGGAAAATTTGCCCGGCCTAAGCAGAAAGCTAGGTGATGTTTTATAGAGGGCAGCAGGGTGATTGCAATTAATGTAACTGTGTTTACACAGTTACTTAAGTATCCTATGCAGTATATAAAATAATTGACAGTGTGGCTTTTGAAACAGCTTAAACGCTTCTATATGTAACTTTTAAGTAATACCAAATGCCTTCAAATGGAAACATATGTAAGTGGTGTTTTTTTGTGGTATTTCTTTATGCTGTGTATAAATATATCACTTCATATGATATTTCATGTTCTGGATCTCTAATTCTTTTCTTTAACTTGAAAGGGACATCAAGAGCAAGAATGTGCTGCTGAAAAACAACCTTACAGCCTGCATTGCTGATTTTGGTCTAGCTTTAAAGTTTGAGGCTGGGAAATCTGCAGGAGATACACATGGACAGGTAAAGATGGATTGTTCACAGAAACAAGACAACTGTAACTGTGTGTGAACAGAAATTGATAGTTTGTGCATTCTTCATGCGAAGGATGGTGTATCATCAACACTATTTGACCTTTAAGAGAGATGGCAATTCTGATCACCTTCTCACAGAATCAATTAATATTACTTAATTCTGTAGATAATTAAAGATGACAGCTTTTTGTCCCCTGCCCTGTCTCGCTGCTCGCCCCTTTCCTCCCACTTCACACTGATGGGCAGCTCAGCTCCACCTCACCACTATCTCACTTCCCTGCTTCGAAAGTACAGGGAGAGAAAATACAAGAGATAAGGGCCTAAGGGTTGAGATAAGCACAGGGAGATCCCTCACCAAATCCCATCACGGGCAAAACAGATGCAGCACAGGCAGATGAGTTTATTGCCTCTCCCTCTGCTATGAATTGAGTGTTTACCATGCAGCAGGGAACTGGCTTTGTGTCATGTACTTCTTAAATAGCAAGCTTGAGCCTGGAGCATTATGGTTTCTGGAAAACTAAATTTATTCAGTTTGAGGCAGGATTTCAATTTAGGGACAAAAATAAAATCCTTACGTTAGGATTATAAAACCTCAGTAGTGCTGTTTAAGAGAAACGTATCTATTATTGTGGAGGCTGAATGTTCAGATATGGTGAAAGCTCTGATTTATTCATGTGACATAATTGCATCGTTGGTTGTGGGCAGAATGAAGGGGTAGCCCCAGAGTTTTCATTTAACATCCAGATCTGCATAAGCGTCTTCATATAACTTTCTAGGTTTAAATTGGTTTTCTTCTGGTATTGTTACTTCTCCTGTCAGGGAGAGGCATAAGCAAGTTCTACATCTTTATGTGCAACTGTAATAATTCTCAAACAGTGTATAAAAAAAAAAAAGAGTGGCCTTCCTGTAACCTGGGTGGGAATAAGGAACAATGGTGACAAGTACATTGAATTATTTGTAGAAATCTGTTATTTGAAATTATATTCAGACTTTCCTGATTCATAAATATCCTTCATAGGGCCAAGTTTAAAAAAGAAGCACAAAAACATTTCTTCTTATTCTGAAAGAATACAAGACACCTTCAAGATTTAGTTGTGAGCCAAGATAGCCATAGCTGGTTTGAATCTTGGACAAAAGTTAGTGCTACTCTACACTATTTTTATAACCAGCACCATCTCAATAGAACGATCATAGTGGGCACATTGGTTCTGAGTGCAATTTTGTTACGTTTGTGTCTCTCCAGGTTGGCACACGAAGGTATATGGCTCCTGAGGTCCTAGAAGGTGCTATAAACTTCCAAAGGGATGCGTTTTTGAGAATAGACATGTATGCCATGGGCTTGGTCCTCTGGGAGCTGGCATCGCGCTGCACTGCCTCAGATGGTGAGCGAAGTACCTGATTGCAATGCTTTATTAAATGGGTGACTGTTTTAAACAAGAAATGGGAAGGTAGGTTATATGCACGCAACAACATGCATTAAGGATGGTAGTGAGCAAAGGAATGGAACACTAGCACCATGCAATCACTTCATAACTGAATCTCTTCTGTGTATGATGTCTCAGGTAAGCGTTTTCTGCCACCATGCGTTTTTTCTCCTGGTGATGGCAAGGAGAAGGAATTACTTCTGAACTCCTAACTTGTTTGATGCCTTGAGGTCAGCCTGACAGTGTCAGTGCCAACCAGTTTGTCTCTGTGTTGTTTCTTTTGTGGCATGAAGAATTTTCATTGGTCAACATGTATTCTGTTACAAAGAGCAGGGTTGCAGCTAATGATGTTTTAGCTGTTCCTCAGCGTGTATGCAAACCTTGGCCCTTCCTGAATCCTTGTGAAATGAACCAGTGGAATGAGAAATAAAGAAGATTCTGCTGCTGATTTAACTGTAGGTGTGAGTGAGATGCTGCTGTGGGAGCACAGTGCCTCCCTGCCCAGTCCTTCTCTTTGTTGGCACTGGTGTGACATGAGTTTTAATGGGAGTCAGGAATTGCTGATAGCTCAGAGACTGAAAACACGGCTGTGTCAGCAGTGTGCAGCACTGGGCTGTTAGCTGGGAGTCTGGCACAGCTGTGTATTTTTCCGTGAAGCAAACTGTTCAGTCCAGTTTTTAAACTATCAAGAAAAGATTTCCAGTACTGTATTTCAAGTATGAACACTCCTCTTCGATTTTATAAGCAGATAAGTTTTCACGGTGTCCAGCATAAGTCAGGCTTAATGCAGGACAAGACAAAAGATGAGGCTCAAAACATTCGGGGAAAATTCACTTTGCAGTGAAGTCTTTAACAAAACCAAGCAAATATGAAAGCTCTGCTTAGGTTTCTGCTACCGTTTGTCATAGAGTTCTCCTGGACCAGTGTAGCTGGAAAACATCCACTGAAAAGCCAAGGTGTAGCGGAGATCTGAGATCAGTGTGAGGCCACTCAGTGCTTTTCTGCTCCAAATACTCCTCACAGAGTGGGAGCCATGAGGGAGGCTTTACCCTTTTAAAAATGTTAAGCCGTTTACTAACGGGATCGATGCGCTTTCAGAGGCAGACCCACATTCTGTATTGATTTCTCTTGCCTCTTTGTACTGTAAAACATACTTACCTAAATCTTACTAGAAGCGTGTTGTAGATCTCTCTGGCAGATGTGGTTATTATTCCAGAAAGTGAGGGAGATGTGAAAGGAAAGCAGCCTTCCTGAGTCACAGCTGTGTGCAGCTCTGCACTTGCAGCTGCTCTTTCCAGCTCCGAATTGCTTTGTTTTCTGCAGGTACCTGGAGTGCTCACTGAGCCTCGGTGGGCTCTGTGCTGTGCTTCTCTGCTCACCTTCCCCTTCCTCCTTTCCCTGTATACCCTGCTGTGGCTGCCACTGTTGGAGAGCAAAGGCTCTGAGCTGTCAGTGAGGGGCTGAGCTGCTGCTTGCCTGGCAGGCACAGCGTGAGCTTTAGCAGCACCAGGAGTGAAACTATGCTGTAAGCCTCTGATGATGGGCTACATTTCTAACACACAAATCTTTCCTTTAAGCAGAACTTGTGGTTTAGCTATTTATTTATTTTTGTTTGTTTCTCTCCAGGCCCTGTAGATGAATACATGTTGCCATTTGAAGAAGAAATTGGCCAGCATCCTTCCCTTGAAGACATGCAGGAAGTTGTGGTTCATAAAAAGAAGAGACCTGTTCTAAGAGAGTGTTGGCAAAAGCATTCTGTAAGTAGTTCTTACTGGTACTGTATTTCGAGTATGAACAGTTCTCTCAAATTTTATAAGCAGACAAGTTTTTATGGTGTCCAGCATAAGTACTGCACCAGGTTCTGTTGTGATTTGAATTTCAGGTAGTGTTAATCCTGGGTGCTGTTCACACGGGTGTCTTTTAGGAAGAATTTAAGCATAGTCAAAATTAAATGGACTGACGAACACCATAAAAAGTTCTCTCTCATCTTGAGTGAATTGAAAGTACCTTTTTTGGTTAAAGATTCTTTGGTTTTATGTCTGAAATGAAAACATGCATGATAAAAATAAACGTAAGAAATAATAGTCTTGATTTCCTTCAGGAAAGCTATGAGCAGTGCATGTAATAACACAGGGTAAGCAGCGTCACGTGGGAAATTGCTGGGAGCCATGAGGGAGGAGTAATTTCTGTGAGTTGGCTTTGGGCTAGAGACTTGCACTGATGTTGCTGCGTGTTCCTCACACTGTTTTCTTTTGGTTTTGTTTTGCTTTGTTTTTAAAAAATGGGTTATTGGAAACAATAGATGACAGTGTCTGCAGAATGTGTGCGCTGCCATCTGCTCCCTGTAATCAGCACACTGCTGTTAGCTGGAGAGAAATGAACTACTGGGGGTGCAGATCCCTTTCTGTACCGTTTGGTTTCATGTTGTCCCTGCATAGCTTCACCTCTTGAGTGTGAGACCTCACGAAGCACCACAACCATACCAGCAGATGGCAGCCTTGGGCACAAAATAAACAAAGGTGTTAAGGCCCCATGACGTGCTGGGTTTCAAAACAAATTTGGCAAAAGGGATAAAATGAGGCAGACGTATCTTACACCGCAGCCTGCTGCTGGGAGTTCCAGGCAGCCCCCTGCACAGAGCTTGCTGAGCTCATGGCTCGTTCCCTCACCCTGCCTCTGTTTGCCTGCAGGGAATGGCGATGCTCTGTGAGACCATCGAGGAGTGCTGGGATCACGACGCAGAAGCCAGGCTGTCGGCGGGGTGCGTGGAAGAACGCATTATTCAGATGCAAAAATTAACTAACATTATAACAACAGAGGACATTGTGACTGTGGTCACAATGGTGACAAATGTTGACTTTCCTCCCAAAGAATCCAGTCTATGATAGTTGCACTGGTCACGTCACTGACCAACGGGACTCTTCACTGGAGCTGCTAAAGCTAACGGGACTGCTGTCGTCATTGTGTTCTGTGTGAAGCGACCGCGGGGTCTCTGGGAGCATCTTCAGGAGGTGTTTCCCTTTCTGCTCCCCCTCCTCCTCCCACACACGAATCCATGAGACTTTCTGCATTCCCTGCTGACGCCAGAAGGACGCGTGATGAGGTGGCAGTGGGCTGCTCAGGGCCTGAAACGAAGAGCGGACCTGGATGGGCTAATGGAGCGTTTTAAAAACTGACATCAGATTTCTTAATACCTGTCAGAAGAGACTAATTCCTTAAATGAACTACTGTTATTTTTTTTAAATCAAACATTTCATTTCAGATTTAAAAAAAAAAAAAAGGGTAACTTGTTTTTATTGCATTTGCTGTTGTTTATAAAGATGACTATTGTAATGCCAATATGACACAGCTTGTGAATGTTTAGTGTGCTGCTGTTCGGTGTACATAAACAAAAGTAATCAAGTGGGATATAGCAAAGAGGCTTCCAAGTATTACTTAACCTCCCTCAACAAGGTATACCTCAGTTCCACCTCTGCTAAATTATGAGATTTGACAACACTAACAAAATTGGAATAATAAATTGATCCATGTTTTGTAAATGATGTATTTCAAATTCACTGTGTTATTTAAAAAGGGTAAGCTATGCTTCATGCCAACAGTAAATGGCCATTCCTAAAGCAGTGTTTTTAGCCTTTTTCTTGTACTAGCTTGTTGTGTATAAAAAAAAAAAGTGCTGTTTATTGAAACAAACTTTTCCTCCCTGTTTTAGTTTGAAGCTTTTCTCTTACCTCCATTTCCCAGAGTATCTCATACATTTATTTAATGGAATACTATTTAGGTTTGCTGTGTCTGAGGAATAGTTGAAAGCTTAAGCATGACTTTTTAAATTTTCTGTGAGCTGTGACACTGGAAAGCTCTGAGATCTTAGTCTTTTTTTTTTTTATTTTAAAGAGAAGTCTTTTTCCTATTTATGTTTGTGACGAGGTCTGCCTAGTGTGTTCTCTGTTTCACTAAACAGGATGCAGTGGGTTCTGTGTCTCTGTTTCAGGATCACCTCAGGAAGCTCAGTTACCCCAAATTCCTTCCTCTCTGCTTTGAGATTTGCATCTTCACTCTACTTCAAGTTGGTGCCATCTTATCAGCGTACTGCTTGCTGTCTGTGATACATGGGCTTATCCACCCCCAACTGAAACCACCGCCACGCTTTTCAGATGATAAACACTTACAGGTGTCAGGGATAACTTAGTCACAGTGTAACTGAAATATGCAATGACAAATCAGAGGTAACGAATACCGCTGTCCGTACCACAGACTTGCAGAGACGTAGGGAAGAACACTGAAATTGCTTTCACTACTCCAATGTTATTTTTGAGTTTCAGAAGTCATGCCTTACATGTAAATTATAAACAGACTGGTAGATAGGTGCCAAAGTGCTTCTCAGAAGTACTGCTCCACCAGATTTATTTGATCCTTTACAAAGACTACAATAAATGTTATAAACCTCTGGACTACAGAACTGATGTCAGCCATGCTGTGCTGTGTGTTTTTATCATCGTGTGTTCGTTATCACACTGAGCATTGGAGGGCTTTTGAAAGAAGCCTGTAATGTTACAATTAGGGGCTCACTGTGAACGTTACCTTAGAAGATTGTTCTGTACAGCCCCAAGGTGCTGTTTTACAGGGACTTCATCTCTGGCAAGAGTAATGGAGGTTACAGCAAACAAGATGTAGGTCAGTGTGCTCTCAGCAGGGAGGGAAGGGAAGGCACGGCTGCGGTGCTGCACTCCCTGTGCTGTGTCACACTGCTGCTTGGCCTTCTGCTGAGGTTCCACATGGCTCTGAAGGGTTGCTGCTACTGCAGGGAGCAGCTCGGTGGTGTTCAGCTGGGTCATAAAAAGAAAAAAAAAACTTGCTTGGGCCACTTGAATTGACGTTTTCATTTTGCTTCCATTTTTACTCCAGGGATGCCATCTTCTGCACTCAGCAGGATGTAAACAGAGCTGCTGAGTTCTGAACAAATAAGGATCCATTTGTACTTTGCTAAAAACCTCCGTGCTCCCATTGAGTTTTAACCCCTTTCCCAGCAGAAGTAGAATAGATACAGGCCAAGTTCTCAAGCGAAGTGGTCCTGTCCAAAACATGCAGCACTTTTGTGTTGTCCTCTAGACTGCAGCCACTGCAGGGTCTGGTAGCAGAGAGCTGCACCCCTGCACATGCTGAGCTTTGCCCCAGGAAACCAAGATTGCTTTTCTTCGTGTTTTAAAACTGCATTGGGGTATATCTGAGCTTACAAATACTGCGCTACTCTGAATTTCCTGATTTGCAACAGCATAATTCAGTGCAGCTGTGAAAAAGATATTCACAGTACAAATGCTTTCCAATTGGGTCAGGTACAGCTGCTCTCGCAGGGCACTCTGGTTTACTTCTGGTTCACTGCTGGAGCATTAAACGTGCAAGCTGAGAAATGTCAGAGCCAGCATTTTTGGAGCATAAACCCAAGCAGGATGCAGTGAGGTTGATGCAGGTGGAAGCATTTCAGCATTACCCACGTGCCTGCTGCCCCTGTGTTCTTTAGGAACAAATGCGTGGCTGAGCTGCAAAGCTCCCCGGTACCTCAGCTCCTGAGGAGAAGTCAGTCCAAAGACCAACGTTGGTGCATTAACTACAACACAATCAGACAGGAAGATGACAGCTCCTGGTCATATTAGCATTGGCCAGAAAGAACAGGGTCATCACTCTGCTCTTTTTCCAGCTTCTCGTTTGTAGCCTTTTTTAATACGATGCCGTTTATTAGGAACACTTGGTACAAAATACAGAAAGCTGTAATGTGGGTTCATGGGCAAAATGATTCAAGTAGCATCCTTGATGGAACATCTTTTACCTCAGATACTCAACCAGCAGTACTTTTTTTTTTTAATTATTATTTTAAGTGCAGTTTCAGTCCATAAACTATTCGTTACCTCTCAAGACTTTGGTAAGCAATTATTTTAACTTTACTCTTTGTATTTGTCAGTGTTTTGGGCACAGGTTGTTGTACTACTGTCAGATGTACTTGCTGTTTTTCTGCAAGTACAAAAAACAAACCAACTCCCTCCCCTCCCAATAAAGTGATTGTTAAATATTGTACAAATACAAATGTATGCTCTTTTTCCCCTATTCCCCCAAAAGTTAAAATAAAAAATGTGACTACTACAACTTGCAGATGCATTTTTTTTTTTTGAGTTTGTAACACTTAAGAGGAGAAACAGCTATTTCTCTACTTCTGCAGTCATTTCCCAAGCAGTTCTGCAGGAGCTGCTGTTGCTCGCCAGCACTCAGGTGCCCCAGCAGCACTGCACAGCACAGAAGGGGGGTTGGAAGGGTTTGGAGATAACTGAACTCAAACTCAAAACATTCAGCTTCATCAGCCCAGCCTTTAGGCTGGAGATATCTAACATCTTGTTCTATTTTCTTTTCCCAGCCTGCAATATTGCAATTGTAGATTTGGTCCTACAAGTGGCACTAGACTGAAGTCAGACTTGTTGGTTTTCTGTGAAACTGTAAATCACATTTTCAGCATAGATCAGATACATGGGTTCAAGACTACCAAACAAAGCCACTTCCACCTGCATAGGAGGAGCTTCAAAACAGCCTTAATGGGCAGCGTTGTGGAAATGCTAACCTTGTCCAGAAGTACAGCATTTCAGTCTGCAGCAGAGGTGCTGATCTCCCCCAGCACTGGGACAGCTCTTCTCCTGGCACTGCTGTCTTATTCTGGACCAAGGTTCTCAGATTTCCCACTCTGACCCTCAGCAACAGGGGTCTGAGCAAAGGTAGAAGAGGGAAGCTGCTCCAAGCAAAACTTCTCCACCCCCATGCACAGCCCTGCATCCCCAGCCTTCTGCTCTTTCCTTCCAAAGGACGTAGAGGAGGGGCAGATAGCTACCACTAAGCTAGCTCATACATGGCAGCTTTGAATTCTGCTCATTGGACTGAAGAATGAACCAACTGTTGTTGCTGATTAAATACTTCTCTTTCTGTAATTTTTTTTCTGCTTAAAAAACCTTCAACCTATTTGACTTGGTTTCCAATAGCATTGCATTCTGATAGTCTCATGGATGTTGCCCAAGCCATCACTTGGAGGAACCTCATCACTGTCATGAGTCTCCTGCTAATTATTTTGCTGCCTTTCAAAGCACCACTGTGTCCTGCAAAATGCACAGACAACATCTTCAAAAGTAAGGAAGCAGAGGAGGAAAGCAGTTGAACCACCAGGATAGAAAGTGGGTGGGTAAGAAAGGCAGCTTCACATAAAAACACCACTTAGCAGATGAAGCTGGCTGTGAGTGAAGGTTTGACCTGACATCCAAAACTTAAGTTGTATTGCAGATGGATCAGAACCTACAGCCTGAGAGCCACGACATCTGCTGCAGTTTGCCACTGCGCTGAAGCAGCCTTAATCTGAGATGAAGAAACTCAGAAGAGCAACTGCTCTGATCTCTACAAAGTAAAAATAGTGAGGAAAGGGGGGAGCTTGCTCTGTTCATCTCAGCTCAGTGCTTTTAAGGCCTTCAAATTCATTGCTATTACAAGCTAATAGGACCGTAGTTCTTCAAAAATTAAAACAAATGCAAAAACAACTGGCAAGGCAAAGCAAAGCAAACCTTCTTGCAAAAATTTATTCATTTGACCCCCAGATTGTGGGTTTTACATCCTTCAGAGACTGCAGTTACCTCCAAATGTCCTGATGCAGTGGTGCTGTGAGGTTCCAGACGTTCACAACCAACTCAGCGACGAAGCTGCCCACTGTTTGACATCTGTGGGGCAGTTGGGATACACCTGCAAAGCATCCATGATTTGATTGTTGTCCAAAAGCAGCTCCATTAAGAGGTACTCTCGCTGAGAACGCACCGACGGCCTTTCTATGGGCTTCACTAATTCCAGTTGCAGTAAGTGTTCAAATGCCTGAAAGCAAACAAACAAACAAAAAAAGATGAGGAGAAGGAAGACAACACTGCTCTGAGCTGCACTGGTCAGTTTGAATGACACATGAGATGTTTTAATAGAAGCCTGTGATGTGCTACAGCAACAGAAATACATTAAATGCCAGCTCTGTTCTACCCTATGCCCATTTTGGTAGATAGCAAACCACAAGAGATGAGTAGAAGTATGCTTTTCTTAGAAAATACTATTAAAATCTTTTGTATATACAGTCAAACTCAGCATAAAAGTGACAAGATCAGAGTAGCTTTGGACTACTGAACTGCTGGTTGCAGAGTTAAGTTCATTAACTGAACACATCTGCACAGCCACGTGTTGGGCTGCTGCACTACAGAGATGAAATGCCAGCCCAGAGCCCAGCCTGAGCCCAGCTAAATGCCAGAACAGAGCAACAGCCCAGCAGCCCCAACGAGCACCAGGTAACCAAAGTGCTATTTGTCAGTTTGCACTTCTGACTGTAGTTGGTTGGAGGCAAATACTGTCCTGCTAGACCAAAGACTCAGAACACCACTCAAACCTATTCAGATGTGGACCAAGGAAACCAGATTTTTGTTGTGGTAACATTAGAGTCAGTTTTGGAAACACTTCCAAACAGCAGAAGCAAACAAGCAAACTGAGTACAGCTACACACGCAGCACGCTGCACTCACATTTGAGTGCCTGCCGGACCGGAGCGGGCAGCGACCAGCAGAGGGCAGTGCAGCACCGAGAGCACAAGGCAGGGCTGCGGCTGCTCCCAGCACGGCTCTGCCAGCACTGCCTCCAGCTCCGCCTCAGCGCGGTGTGTGACTGCCCGCCCGACGTGTGCACCGGCAAAAATCACATCTAAATACTTCAGATAAAGGTTTACCTTCATAACGACGGGCTTTTCGAAGTTGTACATGCAGTGTGCCTTCCTTTGTATGAACTTCTGAAATTCTGCAGAGGTGAGAGGCAAGAAAAGTTACTTGGGGTGAAGCAAGTGATTTATTGTATGTAAAACTGATGCATTTCTCTCACCATTGTAAACCATCTGGAAGTTAAATGGCTCTCCTTCATAAACCTCATTTAAGTGTTTCATAGCTATAATTAGGCAGATTTCCAGGACAGTCAAACCTAGAGGGAAAGACAAGAGCTCTAAGTGTTTTTCTTAAGCTTACCCGAAATGCAAGCAGTTCGTATGCAATTTTTAATACTTTTTGTAAGCTGTAGGTTTCACATATTTGTGGTTTTTATTTTTATCTTCATAATTATAATGAAATTCCAGAATGCAGGAGCTAGATAAAGCAGAGCATTAGTTCTCCAGATACTTGAAATGAGAATGTTAAGAAGCTGTTTGTCAAAACCCCAGAAATTTAACTATAACAAAAAAATCATTATTGCAGATGATGTATGATATCCAGGCTGGATGTGGCTCTGGGCAGCCTGGTCTGCTGGTTGGTGACCCTGCACATAGCAGGGGGTTGAAACAAGATGATCGTTGTGGTCCTTTTTAACCCAGGCCATTCTATGACTCTGTGATTTTTTGATATAGCATGACAAAGAATTCTGGGCAGCATCAAACCAATCTACATGCTGCTGTACAGCATGTCATGAAATGAGAGTTTGAAGGGGTTACGTGCCATGCAGAGCTAAAGAAGTGATGCAGTGAAATAATAACAGGACACTGAGAATTACAGGGCCAAGCAAACCAAAATCTGCAACTTCCAGGAGCCAAGAAGCAGCAGTGGGATAAAAGCAGTTCCTCCTGTAAATGCATTTAGGCTCTGCACCCTCAGCAGCTGTTTCTTTCTTTTCATTGTTTGTACAAATCCTCAAACATTTACCAAAGAAAACTTCAGCGTGTTGCTCAACACATTTGCTGAGGTTCAGGAAGGGAACCCATAGATATTTAGGTCCAAAGCAGCATTACTTGCAGGGTTTTTTTCATTCAAACTCCCCACCACCAGCAGCACAGCAGTAGGTCAGTGTTTTCCCTTCCTCTGTCATTGCCATGGGACAGAAGTGCCACCCCTGCCCACACTACCAGCACTTACTTTGGCACTGAGAGCCATCAGACACTGTAGTGGGGCACTGGCCAAGCTCCCCATGCAGTAATTATACAAATCCTTCACTGTATAACTGAATTCCTGGTTTATCCACGCACAGATGTAAGAATGCAGATAAGTGGAGAGCAGCCCCTATGGGTAGATGTATTCCCTGACCCACCCATGCCCTCGGGGATCAGCGTGTTACACAGCAGCCCTTACATCAGAAGAACCTCAAAGATGGACTCAGTGCTTTCTGTACTATTAAACACACAGATGAAAAAGGCCTGAGCTTTACCATGGACAATATTTGCTTTTGAGTCCATCCTGTACTGCTTGCTCGCCTCCTGAAGATCTGATGCGGTGATAAGAGGGTGACGAACAGTAACATTACTTAGAGCAAGCATCTAAAAATAAAACAGAAGGCATTTTTCATTTAATCACTAATTACCAGACACACTTTCTACTCAGAGATGGAATGCAGAAGAACACATTTCCCCTCGAGTCACCTACTGGAAACACTCATGAATAAACCCTACGCACACAGTATGCTCATACAAAAACCTTGTAAATAGCTGGTAGCTACATCTATGTTTTGCCAGGAAGGTTTTCCAGGCTCAAAACTTTAAAGCCTCCTCACCAGAGGACATAAACACTCATTAGCTTGTTTATATTAATTTCGATGGATTAGCATACTTCAGTGATTGCTGCAAGAAATTACTTACAGCAATTCTAAACAGACTTCTGTATGCAGAGCTACTCGTGTCACTGCTAGGAAAGCATCTGATGGCAGCTCATGGTTTACAGGATACAGGGTACCAACTAAGGGCAGCTAATAAACATTCCCACATTGAGTCACAACTTGAATCATTAACAGTCTTCAATTGGCTGTCACAGAATGCCAGTTTTAAACAAACTGGAGTTAATAAACACGCAGTTGTCTGCCCTCTTGCACCACCACTCTTTCAAAGCTATGGATTATAGGACCTTCATACAGCAGCAGGTACAAGCACTGACCTTCACTTGCTTTCTTTAGTAGTCCAACATTCATTGAGACAGAAAAGCTGGCTTTCAGTGACTGCTTCCTACTTTTGCATGTCTGTGTGATGAAAAAATGTCTATTTTATCTGCTGAGTGCAGATCTTCCACTGAGATCATCCAGTGCTTTCTACCACCACATACTTTTTTTTGTCCTCTTCCTCTCCTTGCAGGTGTCACTGTAACAGCCTCAAAAAGGAGCTTGATCACCCATCTTCCAAAGGAACAGAAGGATGTTTTGGACTACAAAGGCTAATAGGAATCAGCTCTGACACAGCTTGGAGCTCAAAGAAAAGTTATTCCCATCAGCCACGAACTCTTTCTGGCATTCATCCATACCACACAGAAAGAAACAGGTGCTGCTAAATTTGGAATAACTGGCAATCTTGTAACTAACTCAATGAAGCAGAGGACTACCAGGACCACGCTCTGCTTTCAGCATCAGAGCCAGAAGTCAATGACCCACGTATCAGAGGATAAAAACTCACAGTTGGGAAAAGCTGCAAACACTACGCAGGACAGCCCACCACAAAGCTGAAGGTAAAATCCAAATACTTGCACACAGTGACACATAAGCACTCCTGCTTAGTAGGTTTTTCACACAGGCAGAAGCACGGAGATAATTTGATGGTGTTTAAGTTAATGTTACCTATCTTCTGGAAGATGTTTCACATAAAGCTCTGACAGCTGCCTTGAAAACAGCTGTGATCTTCACAGGTGATGGTTATTCAGGGAGATACTGTACCCAAATACATACCAGCAGGAAATGGAGCGAACGCAGATCCTTGCTGTAGTGAAAGAGGTTCTGCAGTACATCTTGAACAGTCCTGTCTTCTGATAGAAGCTACAAAAAAAGTGATATTTTCATTATCTCAGCACGTTACCCATTAGCTAACCATCACACAGAGCTCAGCCTGCACTGCTAATACAGTTCATGTGTAACCTGAACTTTTTGGTCTTCTGTGTAACACTTCTGTGTCCACACTTCAGTAATCAAAGATTGTCTACTGCAATTCGATTTAACTCATAAGATATCATACATTGAAAGGAAATATTTATCTAAAACAAAAAGATCTTACTGTACAAGTTTTACTAAAGCCAAATATCAGGAGCTTTAGATACCTGAATGTTGCTATTCCATTTCTGTGCAAAAACCTTGTCAGGAAATTCAGCAGGAAGAGAAAGCTGCTCCTTGAATATCCTAAGGTACTGCTTAAAAGCAAAGGAATTCATCAAATAGATCCGTCGGTGAGAGAACCTCGATTTCACTCTCTTCTCCAAGAGCTCCAGAATATCCTTGTAGAAATAATTATTACTATTATTTAGTGCATTCTTTGTTACAGTGGAAATGACAATTAAAAACCCACCCAAGTGAATTCTCAGACTTCAGGCGTTCCTTTGCTAATTACTGTAACTGACATGCCTTGAAGTGCCTAAGAATTTGCCATTCACCCAAACCACGTGGTGCACTACATCACACACAATAATTAGTTGCTAGGATACGTGGCAAATTTTTCCACAGATGATGCAAATATTTCAGTTCCTTAAGCCTGAGCTCGAGACGTTGCAGCCCCTCATGGCTGGAAAGAAGCTGTGTGCTTGGCAGGTATGGCAGCTGGCAGCTCACGTGCCTTTTGTCAGCCTGAAAAAATCCAGCTACAAAAATGCTAAGAGCCAATACGTATCTTCCTAGGCTGTCACACAGAGCTCAGCACGTCTGCCATCAAGTTGGTGGCTGAAGATAATGCAGAAAATCTTATTTTTCTCAGAGCTGATAGCAATAGATTAGCATCGGAAGCAAGCTGTGTTTCCTCCACTTGGAGCAATGCAGTCCTGTTCCCCCCACCTTCTGCTGTGACAGAATGATTACACTGTTTCTTGCAATTTTTCCCTTCTCCCTTTTAGTTGCAACAAAACCAGCTTTCAGAATATCAGAATCCCTCACCAGAAAATGTGGTAAGAGTCAACAGAGCACCAACAGTGAAAAAAATTTGGCTTAGAAGACACAAACACACAACAAGCAGTTGAAAAACTCAGCAGCAGTGGCTATCACAACCATGACACAGCTTCCAAATGCAGATTGAAAAGCAGAGCAATATTGGGTTCTAAACTACGAGTGATGGAGAAGCCAGACTTGGACATTGGAGCAAAAGAAAAGACTATAATTTAATATATCAATTATTAACCATTCTATTAAGTTGTAGCAATTTGCTCAGTTAAATACCACCCAAGCCCAATCAACCTCAGATCCAGGCTTCAATTAAAGATTTAATGATTATTGCTCATTAATCCCTTTGCAACCAATAGAGCTTACTAAGAAAAACAGTATGATTTTAAGTATCATCTTCCAGTGTTAGAAGTAATTACTTCACAGTACACACACATAGCTGTCCTCATTTCCCCATAATGTCACTGTTAAAATCACAACAAGTTTAATAAGGATTTAAAATCCATGTTCAACATGCCAGTGTTAAGCAGAAGCACCCTACTGAGCTGTTACTTTAAAAAAAAAAAAACTAAAAATAAAATCAAATCCCTTTTGCTCAGAATAACGATTTAAATATGAGCCTATCCTTACCAAAAAGTGACCAAGAGTGAATGAAATCATAATGCAAAATCGCCACACGGATAAACACAGCTCTTCTGTGGCAATATAGAACAGCCCATTCTCTCCTTAGAGACACAAACCTGCTCCCTGGACAGGAAAAGTGAAGGTTTCCCACCTTTTTGGTTGGCTGCGTTTGCTGTCAGTGTCAGTTTCAAGCCAAAAGTCACAGCGATGGTTAACTGAGAAAGTCTCAGTGAATTAAGGGACATGTCAGAGGTGGAGAACAGAGAACACTGCAACTAAGAAAGAGCTGAATATTTTTTTGAAGTGCAAGTTCTTACCTGCCTGCATGTGAGTCCAATAACGGTTACTGGAGTCTGTGCTGACTGGGATATATCAAACAGGTTGTACAGCAGCGTCTGGTTCTTGTGGTGCACAAACAAGTCAAATTCATCCAGCACAAACAGGACTGGGCAGCTGCTGGTTCTGTCTCCTGTGATAACAAGTTACAAAATGAGCGTGGTTGCATCATTGTCACTTCCATTTCTACACCTTTGCTTCACATCTCCTGCTCTTAATTACGTGCAGACTTACTTTCAGCTATTTCCCTAAGCCCTCCTTTCATGTGTGTTCCTACATAAGACACACAGACCGACTGGTAAGTTTGATGCTATTTTGCCAAACATCACTTCTGGGTGCAAGGGACAAATTTCTATGGCTATTTTTTAGAAACACTATTTTTAATAGGTTCAGTCAGAACAAAAGAATCTACCCTTCATAGCTGACCCTCGCATGTAAATCTTTATGGCACCATTTAAGTCTATGTTTGTTTAGTAGTACGCATTTTTTACATTATTTTGTAACCACAACATTCTTGGGCCTCCTTACAAAGCTTCTACAAGACAATGAAGAAACAGCTGCATGCTTTCCAGTCAAGTGACAAATAAACACACAGTTCCAGAACAGGGCTGGTGCTGCTTACCTTTCCTTAAAGCTTCAAGAAGGAACACAAGATTTTCTGCAAAACTGCCCTATACAGAGGAAAAAAGTTTCACAGTCATTTTGCAGCATCCTTGTCAGAATTCTGCAAGCTGAGACATATAGACAAGCTCACTTCCTCCTAAAACTGTGATAACAAAACCAGTCCACATTTGAAAAGTTATACACCATGAAGTAACACTGTAATCAGAACTCTTCCAGCAGAGGAAACTGACTGTTCCACACTGACACCAGATCTCTGGGAAACCCAAACAAATTCCCTCAGCCTTAAATCAGTGATCAGAAGGATGTGTGTATTAAGTTCAACTTACAAATAGCATTTTCTTTTCTTAAATTTCACTGCATACCCAATTCTCTATTTACACATACACAACATCCATCCCCTAACAGGTAGCACTGAAAACCAGCAGACTGCCACTTTTTCATTTGCAACCTTATGAGATCGAACATTCCCAGCAGAAAACAGTAAACTGCTATAACAATTCTTCTTCAGTTGCTACCTCTGTGCCAAGGAGTATGTAAGATGGAAATGAATTCTAAATGAAGACCACAAGCCCTACTGAAAAACACAGAAAAGCCAGTTTCTGTGTTCAAAGTTCATTCTCTGAAGGCGAGCTGCAGAACCTCAGAAAAGGTCTCTATGGACAGAATGAGGACATTCCTGCAAATTAGCCTGTTTGGAATTAGAAAGCTATGAGTTTGAAGAAGTATTCCATAATAAGCTAAAAGGAAATAGAGTTAAGGGAATTAAACATATTGAAGCTTAGTTTTATCCATAGCTTTTACTTTTGGTAGTAGAGCTGTAGACCTTGAAAGGTTCTTCTAGTTCTCTGATGAGAAGTGAACACTTAATGGCCATGCTGAAACTGACCACTTTCTATTTCCCTTTATGTCTGCAGCTACATTTAAGAAAATTTTAGCTCACTGTCAGGAAGAGTTGTCCATTCTATGAACCCAAAATAATTTGGGATAAGCAGAAAGGCAAAGGCAAGCCTAGGAAGCAAGCATTTGAAAAGATAATAAAGTCTGACTACAGTGCTCAGTTCATCTTGTATTCCACCCTGCCTAGTCCTCTGGAGCACCTTAGTTAATTAATCTCTGTGTTACTGACTTCAGTGCTCACGTAAGGAGGTTTCCCATCTTTGGGAAAAACGTCAATAGAAGCAAATATTAAAAGAAAGCCTATGCAAAATGAGAGCAGCAAACTGGATAGATATCCACATAGGTTTCGAATTTACTACAATGCTTTTGGGCCAGTTAATTTGCTTACTCCAAAGTCCTCTTATCCTCTGAACACAGCCTCTTTGGAATAATGAATATATACACTTCGTACAGAGGATTCAGGTAAGTCTTGAGAGAGCCTTTCCTTTCCTCCATTTATTTATTTAAGCTGAAGTGAACGTTTTCTGAAGAGCTATCCAAAACTAGCCAAGTTCAGCACTTCTATAGAACAGGTCTTTAGGCATGCATGAAGTGTTTGTAAACCACAGTCATTATAGGTAAAAGCTGCTACATCCCTTAAACACAGCCAGCCTGCTGTAATCTTGCTAATGAACATTCAAAGCCCATTTGTTCCCAACAAGCTGCATTTTACAAAGCTAGTTTTCTAGGCAAGGATTTTAGAGGGAGATAAGCAAAGAATATAATAAAGCTGAGACTTACAAAAACTTTATCCCCAACCACATTTTCCAGGTGCAGCTGCCTGGTGATTTCCTTCAAGGCCACTTTATCATTTGTCTGCAAAAGCCCTGAAAGAAAACGGCTGCATGTGAAGAACTGGTGGCTCTCCCTCATTCCAAGCAGCCACTAGAAACGTATCCAGAAGCTTCTCTCACTTCCAAGCCTTATAAAGGCAGGCCTTTGTAAAAATACAGATGAGATGGTAATTTTCTATATATAATCCAAAGTTGCTTCAAATAACTTGCTCACAGCTGAACTGATTTCTAACATCCTGAGAGAAAGTCAAGTTATCTACGTATACATGCAAAGGAAGACATTCTGGAGCTAGCAGACCAGCATAGACTGCACACATTCAAGGATAGACTGCAAATGTCAAAACTAAAACTCCTGAAGTACACATAATACACAGCAGCTGAATGTAATGTATTTGAGGAGTGCTGCATTACTTGCCATTCAGATGAACTTCCAAGAGGTTCCCTTTAACTTGTTTCATTTCTCTGAGGTCTTTTAAGGCACGATTTAATAACTAGGAAAAAAGACATAAAACTTCTTTATAGCAAGATTAGCATATTAACTATAAGAAATATCTACAAATTGGTATTCTTAAACAGTAAACAGTATGCAGCGTTTCATTAGATGACAAAGCTTTCTGAGTATTTTCAGAAGTATCAAAGAGAAAACTTCACTTCATGGCATATTAATGCTTCATAAGCAGATGCCATTTATTCTGGATAACCCCTTATCCAACAATTTCAGCTGTACCTTCAAAGTTTACCAAATACAAGAAAATAAAAAAATATATATTTTCTGCACAGTGAGAACACTTGTTGCTTAACTAACAAATTCATAAATCTAAGAAAGTAAGCATCAACTCTACTTAAAAGGTAGCAAGAAGTACACAGGTGGAAGAATCCTTATTTGTTATGGGTTTATTGGCTCTTTTTTTCCTCCCTTTCATAGTATTTTGGCAATCATCCTTCTTTCAAAGCACTGTGGGTAAAGAAAGAAGGCAACAGCAGATTGTTTTTGAAATGCAAACCAAGAAATCTATCAACAAATTAGTAGAATGGTTTCAAGTATCAGCTGTATCATGGGTGTGTTTTACCACCTATTCACGTATTTATATTCAACTGTACTTAAAACATGGAAGGCTTAGCTTTAGCTCTTGGGAAGAGTTCCAAAGTTAATCTCAGATATATCTTTCAGTAAAAACTAACCTATTTATCTAATCACATACTCATGCAAACATAAAAGAAATGCTTACATAATGGGATGCTTTGGTTAGATGTGATTGCTCCACGTGCCTCAATTAAAAAATTCCTTAAATATACAAAACCCACACTTACTGCAAGCAAAATACACAATGTTCTAAAATAAATAATGTTCTATATCCTTGTAACTTAGATAATAATGTTATCTGACACATTTAAAATAGGATTAAGATGCATTACCATTCTCTAAATATAAATATGTAGAAGTGTACAAAGCTACCCTTGTATGGGAACTACTGAGTCACAGCCTTAACCACTGATGGAGCACCTGGGAAAAGGACCAGGCAACCCTGGGAGCACAGGTGAAGGCAATTCAGCTGTGAGACAGGAGGGGGTGCAGCCTGGCTCCACCTCCCTTAGACCTCATTTAAGGGCTGACTGCAACCGAGAAAGATCTTTTTTGGGAGATTCTTCCTTGATGAAGCTTTCTTCTTTGAACCCAGAATCTTCTGATACAGGTGAGCAATCTTCTTCCCTTTCTTTATAGCACCTTTCTATAGTGCTGTGTGTGTGTGTATATATATATATGGTCCTTCTGTCATCACACTTTTTCCATTGTACTGATCTGTCCCGCTACTGTAACTCTTTAGTGTTTTCCTTTAGTTTTTGGGTGCCTTTTCAGTAACTTTTATACATGCCTGATAGCAACAGCAGGTGAACTTTTGAGGGACATCTCAAACAAAACCTGGCTTTAATTACAAAGATGAACACTTTCATGGCAAGCACTATAGCAGAAGTGTAACAGGAAAAATGCTGAAAGACTCCATAAAACCTAGTAGAGACATAGGAGGATTCCAAAACCATGCATACTTCTGCAAGTCATTGTGAGGATGGACAGGTACATGGTTTTGTTAGGTGCAGATGAAACAGCTGGATTTTGTTGTTGTTGTTATAGTTGTTCTTATGAAATTACTATAAACTCAGCATTTGGAATGCTTCAAATATTTAGGTTTTTTTTAGGAAAACTATTTCTCCATGCAGAAATTCTTCACTCAACAGAATTAGCTCACAATAAATCCTAGAATGCTTTCTTGTTCTGCATAAACAACTGAGAGTTCTTTCCTTAAAAGCAGGCACAGAGATAAAAACTTGCTCCAAAAGCTCTCATGATTTCAGTGAGGTCACCTCCTCCATGCTGTATTAAACCTTGTACTAACTTGTAATTTGTGCCCATACCGCAGTCTTTCCTGATCCACGGGGTCCAATAATGAGGGCAGAATTACTTTCTCCATGAACTGCAGTTTGCTTCAGCAGTTCCAGCAGATGCCTGCGATATAAACAGAAATACATTAAGCTTCAGATCAGGCAACATTCACTGAAATTAGGGAAAATTCAAGGAATCTTTCAAACAGAAGAAACAACTATGTATTTCAACTTCCTTTCAGCACGTACATCATGCAAAATGTAATAAGAGTACAAAAGCTGAGTGATTTGATCTCTTAAAATATTTTTGAGATATCAAATCATGTGGAAGAGTATCATTAATTTACAAATTTCTACAATTCTCTACCATCAAAGCATAAACTTAAAAAAAAATAAATCATTATTTCAAAAAAAAAAAAAAAAATTAAGATCACTTTATGTGACTCCAGTGTAGCATATGAAGAAAGAAGACTGGCCAATATATTCAAGGAAAATCTTGACACCAATAAAATAATAATCTACTGGAATATTACTGATTTTTGCCAGTCTTGATTTTGTACTGAATCTGTTCAAAGCTTATGAATGATAACAGCAACACTGATCATCATGTTTGTATTCCATTATCACCCAAAGAAACAAAGTAAACTTCTAAATTTTCTTCAGAGAAACAAGTCACCTAGTATTACATTCAAAGTACTTAAAAAACAATATTTCCAATTCACAAACATTTACAGATGTATACACTTATTAAGCTTATACTTTAATTAGAATGTTCACACTGCATGCATAAAGCAGTGGTTAAAGACTGGCTGTAGCCAGCCCAGGAGTCATCTTTGCTGCTACTTGAAATCTAACTATAGTGAAGATTTTACCTGATTATGTTTCTACTGTGGCTGAAGCAGGAATTATTTATGATTTTAGTGGTTACTCACTTGTACTGCTGATCCATCCCAAACAATTTTCCCATAGCATGATGGTGACACAGTCTTTCACGTAGCACTTTTTGCACCTACAGATATAACAGAAGACTGAGAAATTCCACTTGGTATTTCAAACAGCTGACTGTACCAATAATGTAATTAATGTAGTAAATAATAGCAAAATATGCATGCAGCTATTCTACATGTAAGCATTAATTGTTCTCAATGGTAGAGGAGTAAGAATTAAGTTGCCATAAGCAGAATATTCAACAGGAAAAAAAATATATGGTAACAGCCATGTTAGCTTTTAGCCCCTTCTGTTCCAATTTCTTCACTCCCAAAGGGCTGTTACACATCACCAAAATTAGCTCTCTAATTCATAATTCTAACTTCCTGCATAACATAGGCCAGAAAACATTTGCCAGCAGACTTTAAAGAAGTAACCCACTAATCTATCTCTGGTCAGACTTGCACTAAATAGACTTTTTGCACCACTGGTAACAACACTGCTGCCTACAATATCTGGTGGTTATAAAATAACAAATGTATACTATCTCTCAAGATGCAATTCAGATTCACTGCTCCTAAAAATTGAGGGAGGGGAAAGGTGGGGGGAGAAAAACTGAAGCTATATGTTGCATACAAAGACCAGAATGAAATTATAAGCACCAGTATGACTATTAAATAAAGATCTGAAGTCCTTCAACACAGCAAATACCTGTATTTTGACCATTTGTTGGGATGTATTTAATGGGATAACTTCAGATATGTATCTGCATTACCTGTTTTCCACTTCAAGAATCTGTTGTTTGGAACTCTATCTTCAACTTTCAAATGTCCAAACCTCAGCATCACAGCATGTTTTGTTTTTCTACCACCTGGCCAGCAGCACACAAATTGGAGCATCCCAGTTCTTAAAAGCTGACAGGACTCTATGCCACTACTTCTCCATCTCTGCTATAAGCAATTGAGAAATACCTGCATGCTACATCACTTTGTATTGCCTAAAAATCATTTTGAATGCTGTGGGGGGGCCTGCTTTGTGGGGGGGGTTGGATTTGATATCTCTAGAGATCCCTTCCAGCCCCTACAATTTTGTGATTCTGTAATGCTTGGTGTTCCATTTGTGTCATGGCAAAGATTTTTAGAGATTAAGTTGCAAACTGTCAGTGAAGTGTTACTCCTTTAGGAAAAAAATCACATTTCAGCATCAAGTCTTTTAAGTGAATGCCCCAAATCTGACCCAAAAGTTACCTGTATCATTATCACACATGTCACTGCTGTCCCACTCTCTCAATCTGAGTTGGGTTGATTTTACCCAACCCATCTGTTTTGTTTTTTTTTTTTTCCCCCCTACATTCTTCAGTTGCACCTCTCAGCTGCATCCTCTCTTATTTCTGCAAAATGTAAGAAATGACAACAAAGCCTGCAGTCATCTCCCACGTAAATCAATACTGAGCAAGCACTGCATGACAAACACTTCACATTTCTCCCATTCTAGGCAGTAGCCAAGCTGTGCTTGTCTGCCTGATTTTTTCAGCTACTTTTTCCTCTGCTGAAGTCCTACTGACTTCATTTCCAGATTTATTCTATTCCTGTGAACAGCCATCCGTTCATAAGTGAAAAGGTTTCCCTGCTAGGAAGGGCTGGTTGGAAATCACAGAATTACATGGATGGCAGAGGACAGAAAGCTTTCATGACTCAAAGCTGGCTAATCAAGGTGTCACTGACCTGCGAGATGCATTCCCCATCTGTACCACTGCTCTCCTTTAACTTCCGTTTATTCATTGCAGAAGATTACACCTTTAAATAAGAAAGACGATACAATCGTAACTACGTGGAAAAGGAATTAATTTAGCATATGTTACTCGCAAAATGCATTTTTTGAGGCGTTGGCAGGCTATATTTAACCCGAGCAGCAGGACGGTCACCCTCAGGCGAGCTGTGCTAACGGACACCCAGCATCCAGGAGGGCCGAAATCCGCACCGCAGCTTCACGGCGACCCCCGCATCCCGCAGCCATCCCTTGGAAATCCGCTCCCAGCGAGCTGCCCGGCGCTGAGGGGTCCCTGAAAACGCCTTGACGCAACACAGCCGCCTCGCAGCCCGCCCCGCTCCTCAGCCCCTCACCTGAGGTGACGCCGTCAACCGCCGCCCTCGCGCGCGCCCCTCCCGCTCTATTCCCAGCAGCGCCCGCGCTGCCCGCCCGCCCGCATCACGTGACCTCCATCGCCCCGCCTTTCCGGCCCTGCCCACCCCCCACTTCCTTCCCCCCTCAGCTCCATCTCCTTCCGGGTGCGCGCGCACAGCCCTGTGGGAAGGCCCGGCCCTCCCTCCTTCTCTCTCTCCCCCCCCCCTCCTTCACCCCCCCCCGCGGCCTCCCGAGCTCCCCCGCGGCGCATGCGCAGTGGCTGCCTCCCATCTTCCTCCCCGGCAGCGCCGGAGCCCCCAGCAGCCGGAGCGGCGGCAGCTGACGATGAGGAGCGCGGGGGGGGCGGGGGGGGGCCGTTATTTATATCGTTAAAGGGACAGGCCGCCCATTTCTCCGCCGCGGGGGCTGGGGGGGGCCGTCGCACGGCCACCGACTTTCTTTCCCCCCCCCCCCCCCCCCCCCCCCCCCCCCCCCCCCCCCCCAACCCCCCCGGACCGGAGGAACCCGGGGCCGGAGTGAGGCGCCGAGAACGACAGCGGAGAGTTTCTTCCCTCCTCCCTCCTCCTCCTCCTCCTCCTCCTTCTCCTCCTCCTCCTCCCCGCGGCCGTCAGCGGAGGGAGAAAGGGCCCCGCCGGGAGCACGGAGCAGCCGGGCGGCCCCCACCCCCCGCGCTCCCCTCCTCCCCCTTTATTGCCCTTTGTGTGCGTTCGCCGCCTGCGCCGCTCCGGGGCCGGCCGGGCGCCGGGGGGCCGCTGAGGTGAGTGGCGGGGCCGCGGCCGGGGCGCGAGGGGAGCGGTTGTTTACCTCAGGGCCGGCCGCCTGTCACCTCGCGGCGTCGCCGGGCCCGGAGAGCGGGGTGAGAAGAGAGGGGTTTGGCTGAGGCCGCGGGGGTGCGAAAGTTCGGGGGGTTTTGTGGGGAAGGGAGAGGGGGGGAGGAGGGGGAAGCGTTGGGGTTTCGTCGTGCGGAGCGGGGGGTTCGGAGGGCGGAGCGGTTTGTGGAGAGTCCTGGTTGGGGAGCGGGGTGTGGGGGGGTCGGAGCTGCGTGAGGGTTCGGTGCCGGGTTTTGGCTTGGTCCAGCCGTAGGCCCCGGTCATACAAAGACTTGTTTGCCCGCTGAAGTTGGAGAGCCGGGTTCGGGGCGCACGCGGGAGGTTCCCCGGGTCGGGAGGTGCCTCGGAGCTCCGGGGTTCGGGTGGTCAGCGGCTGCCTTCGGTCCGGAGTTGGCTGAGGTTGGGATCTGCCTGCCCGCGTAAGGCCGGAGCTCCGTCAGCAGCCACAGCCGTGGTGGTCAGCAGGGCTGCAGGCTCAACCGACGGCTTCCTGCTAATTAAAGGAAAGCTACGTGTCAAAACGCCTAGAATACATACGGCGTAAGGGGATAAGCTACTTGCTGAGTCGAAGTATACGTTGGCACAAGCCTTCCAGAGGTTAAAAAGAATCCAGAAGTCGGAGTTGAGATATTGATACGTAGCTGATGTAAGAGCCCGCTCTATAAGCGGGATGTTTGCTGTCGTCTGCTTCTTTCTGGAGCTTAATTACGCTCTTTGTAATCTTAAAAAGGCAGCCGGAGCGTGTGCTGAGCCACGAAGTAGGCCGTGAGGATGTGTTTCATTGGGGCATGGCAGCTAAATGGAGGTCAGCGTCGGGCGTGTGTTGCCTCTGCCTCGTGCTGGAAGGGTACCCACAAGAAAGGGCTCGCCCGTGGGTGCTTTGGGATCTCCAGTTTCTAATTTGGAGCGGCGGTTTTTTGTGACCGAGCTGGAAAGAGTTTGAGAAAGGAGTAATTAGATTGGGTGAAAAGAATGGGAGATATGTACGTTTGGTCCGATAACTTAAAGATGTCACGAAGAAGACTTGAAGGTAGCAGCCATAACTCTAGTTCTTCCTAATAGTTTGCCTCCAGTTTTCCATTAGCTTGTGGAAATGAGATACTTTTGGTTTTAAACACGCGAAAAACTTTGACAAAGTGATCATCGTCTTCATAGCTTGTGAGAATCATCTTCAGACCCAGCTGATACATGTATAAAAGCTCATTCTTTAAATACATTATTCTTCTTTTAGTTAGCTTACTGCGTGCAAGGACTGGACAGCAGAAGACTGTCCAGGAATAGAGGACTCTAGGACCCTGCACATAGCAGGGGGTTGAAACTAGATGATCATTGTGGTCCTTTTCAACCCAGGCCATTCTATGATATTATGACTCTGTTTCATGACAGTGCTCTGTTTTTCAGCCTGAGATACCACTGATGTACTCTTATTTCTGTGTAGAAACCTCAGGATTATGCTCCCTGTGTTTGTGGAGCCGCAGATCTGCCTGCAACTTCTATGGCCTACAGCTGATGAGATGTATTATTTATCATAAAGATTAACACTTCTATTTCTGTGTGTTGTAACGATGAAGATGGACGGGATTTGACCTGGTTGCTCAGTAAAACGCCCTAACAGAATTCTAAAACTGGGTAGAACAACCCATAGCATTCTCTGATTGTGAACCTTAGAGATGGAATTGCTGGCAGAACTTCATTTCCGTAGGCCTCTGGTTCCTGCAGCCATGTCTGTGCTGAATGGACAGCCGCTGCTTGGGGGATTAGATAGGAACAGTCCTGAGGAAGAATTTGTGGGGCTGAGGCTCTGAACGAGTGTGCTTGTGTTGTGCCAGAGGTAATTCCTGTGTTTCCAAAGCAATGCTTCATACCGAGGGGTCTAAGGCTGGTTTGGGTTGTCTGGCAGCTATCACAGAGACCTCTTAGGAACTGGAAGAACTGAATCTATTGGCTTATTTTACTGCAGGCTGCTAGTTATCAACAGCTATAACGGAGAAGCAGTGTAGCTTTTGGCTTTTTTAATTTCTTTATGCTGCTGTTATGAGAAGGTATTTACAAATATTTGTTGTTTCCAGGAGAACTGTGGGCATATATTTCAACTACTAATCTTCTGAGCAAAAACTTCTGTGATTTCTCTATTTTACGTATTCCAGGTTAGTGGCTGCCCAGGCTGGCAGTCTGAGAGGTTGCTTTGAATTAGCAGGAAACCTATGGCATCAAGATGTAGGCTGTGCTAGTTGTAAAGGTTCTGAATGTGCCAGGCTTGTATCTGTCCTTTAGCAGTACGTCTTCCCTTGAAGTTTGTTGTCATGCTGCCCGTTGTAGTTGACTATGCTCATTTGTATTTAGTCGAGTTAAGCAGATGTTTAAAGAGAACCTTCTTTACGATGGAGGACTTTCAGTAATTTAATTTTTCTCTGCTTATAATCCCTTCATTCTTTGGATCTGGAGGGATCAGTCTTTCTGTTCCTTTTAAAAAGCACTGAAGATGTTGGTATAAGCAACACTCCTCTCAAAAACAGAATGCCTTGTTTTACGTCAGGGTTTATTTGACTCAATTTGTCTGTAGGTTATTTTCTCCCCTATTGTTACTCATGGCAATTGTTTGCATCTGGAAGGTCTGCACCTTGACTGCAGTCCACAACTACAGCATCCATTTCTGAGGCAGCAGTGAGCCTCCAACATGGATGGATGCTCCTAATGGAAGGGAGCATGCTGTGTGGGTGGCCCCCCATGTCCGAATGCAGCCCTGCTGCTCCCTGCCTCTTCCCAGGCTTTAAGAGGTCCCATGCCCACAGCAAGAGGAGGATCTCAACTCTATCTAGGTGGTTCAGGTCACAAGTTTTAGAAGTGGCTAAGCTTCCTTTTCAGAAGTGCTATTAAAACTTTTAGAAAGCAAGGAGTGGTTCTGCTGCTATGTTTGGGTTTGTTATGTTGGTTTGGGGCTTGGTTGGTTGGTTTGGTTTGGTTTAAGGACCTTATATTGCTTTCTCTTTTATCCCGGTGGAAGTGAATATCAGTGTTACCATTGATCTCAGTAAGAAAAAGATACAGGATGCATTTTTGAATGAACTTTTGTCGTTAAGGACTTTGGTTTTGAGAGTGTTTGAAACCACAGACTTTCGCTGACTTTTCATTGTAATCATTTCTGGAACTTTTCATTGTAATTGTTTCTGGTGGCATGATGCTGCTCAGTCAGTTTCAGGTAGGCCTGCACAAGAACCGAAGCCTGGATTTGAAATAAAATACTGGAAAATCATTGGAGACAAGTCAACTGTTAAAACCTCCTGAAAGCTGTGGAACTACAGTTAAATCAAGTGGGACGCTTAGAAAGAGCAGCAGTTCAGAAATTAAGCAGTGCAGACTCCTTTCAGCTCTCCAAACTCAGAGTTCTTTATCACTGTGGCTGCTATTCTTGATGAATTGTCTAGAAAGGGGGCTCACACTTAAAATAATTATAAAATCAATTTAAAATTTGTCAAAACCATATCAAATACAAAATTATAGCTTGTGATTTATCTGTGCATATCTGTGTCCTACTATGTACATGGATACATATGCATATATGTTCAGCTACATACACAAATGTCTGCGTGTACGTGCAGGAATATATAAAAGAGGTGTGAAAAGTAGATGTGCTTTAAAGCAGTGCTTAAAATGAAGCAATTGTATGGCTCTACAGATTTGTCTTTGGAGTTGTACCTCTGAGTTGTTGATTTGATCAGGCACACAGCAGTAGGAATCAGTCATTACCATGAGATGGCTATTCATAGACCTTTGTGAGACGACTTGATCAGCTCAGTTTGTCTGCAGCTTGACAGATGTTCCCAGTGCAGAATTGTCCCTTCCCTCCTGCCCTTCCTGTGGGAATGGCCGTAGAGCAAACCATGGCTTTGAGTGCCTTGTTCTTCTCCAGATGTTGGAGCTGAGGAACGTTGTAGGGGTGATACAGAGAGCTGGTGATACGTGAGGGTTGTTTGTCACTTTGCTGTTATCTCTGCGTGTTTCTTCTGAAGCCCTCTGTTTCGAGAGATTGAAGTTTACTTAAAGAATGAAAGTGTTACAAGGACTGGAAATTTGTTGGGGTTTCTAATAAGCTCCTTTATTAAAGAAAGAATAAAGAGTTTTGTTCATCCGTTAAATTTT